CTGGTGCACTGCTCTCTGCCCAGCAGAACTCAGATAAATTATCCAGAAGATCTTGGTAGTGTGTAATTGAGCAGCTCTGCCACAGGCTGTGCTTCCAGCTATGTACACTCTGCTGTGCAGCAAGGCACAGTAATTGCTTGCTCCCTTGGAAGCCAAGAGCTCTGGGTTTGTCTCAAGTGATTGTGCCCTCTTCTCCAAGATTTTGGAGGGACGCCTTGGATTTACTTACCATGTTTCATGCTTCCTTGTTTCCTGGTGGGAGGTTGCATACATCAAACAGTTATCCTCCCTTGGCTGTTTATCCTGTCTTAAAGATGTATTGTCACCTGGTTTCCAGCACAGTCCTTTCTTCTAACACAAGAATAAAAAGTTCAGGTGCCTGGAGGGAGGTGCCTTGGGGGTGTCTTGAGCGTTGCTCTGTTCAGATTTGGTGGGAATGCCTCAAGAGTGATCTGCTTTCTAACTGCTGCCGTTACAAGGATCTCTAAATCTTTCTCAGCACTAACCAAGTCACAACCTTCATTCACTGTTCTGCCCTGGGATGTGCTAACAGCTACAACAAGCAACAGGGGAATGCCCCCTGTACAGCACAACATCCACATTCAGGGCAAGATGTGCTGTTGCATCTCACTAATGGGTTTCTCGGTTCTGCATGGCTATCTGCTTCTTGCTGGCTGTCTCCTGTCCGGCTCCCGGTGTGCTCCTGCTGCTTTGTCGGCCCCAGCCAGCTTGGCTCTGCCCTCGCTTTCAAAGGCAAGGCTTGGCCTGGGGCCCAGCCAGAGCTGCTTGTTGCACCCTGGGCCCCGAGTGTCAACGCTGCTGGCACAGGCGCTGCTGGCCATCCGCCCGGCAGGTCCCTGGCACCAGCGCCCGTGAGAGGCATGTGGCTGATGACCTGACTGATCGCGCCGTCTCCCTCTCTCTCTGCCCCAGATCGGCGGACCATTCTCTGCCCGGATCTTCCGTTTCCACAGACTTTGGCAGCTGGCAGATGGTGACAGGGTGTGGCAGTATTCGGGAGCAGGCAATCCTGAGCGCAGACTCCTCTCTCCCTTGCAGCTTCCCGGACGAGTTCCCTAGCACTTACCTGTAAGTGTCTCAAATGCAGGATCTCTCCTTGGGTCTCTTGGCTGGCTGCGAGCACTGGAACTTTATCACCCTGGCACTTTCAGGGAAGCCTGGGAGCCCATAACAAACTGTTCCGTCTTCTCTACTTTGATGTTTTCCATCCGCAAACTCAGTCCCTGAGCACTCTTTACTTATGCTGAACACGGAAAGAAGCTGTCACTTTCTCTGCCTAATGATGGGGGAGCACTTTGCTTTCTGTAGGAAGAAGAGGCTTTTCTCTCTTCCCCGAAGATGCTGAATTTGGGCATAATAGTGTGCATTCGAGGATGCATGCTTGTCAGGACAGGACTGGTAACCCAGATTTTCTTGCTTTTTGGATTTTGCTCACCTACATTTCCCCACTGGGGTCAGATCCTTGCTGCTGTAAGAGAAGGGCTTTCCTTCTGTAATCCTGATTTTCTGGCTTTGTGCAGCATCATTTGCAGGTGCTGCATCTGGCCAGTGCAGAGCCGCAGAGACCCTGCATCCTGCCACGTAAAATGGCTGGGAGGCAAATGTTCCTCCCCAAATAGAAAGCCACCTCTGGATGCTTGAAAGACTGAGGATGTGCTTTAATTGCCGTTAGAGGAGAACTTTGGCTTGTGCCTTCAGGCTGCAAACTCTCCATCAAGAAGCTGGAATGGCAGATCAGGGGCTGCTGCTAGCAAGCAGTGCAAGAGCTGTGCTGCCAGACGCTCGGTCCCTGACCGAGATCTGCATATGTGCTTTGGAGGCAGAGGGCAAGAGACATGAAACCCAACATCTCCTGTGAGACAGGCTGGCTGCCCTGGCTTGCTGTCTCGTGTGGCTGCATGCTGTGCTGCTGAACAGAGCAGAGCAGCTGTCCTCAAGTTACGGTGAAGCTACAAGACCCATGAATTGACAGAACAAAAAATCACAAGAGATGTTGGACATGGCCTGGCTGGGATTTGCGCTCCTCCTTTCCTGAGGACATGCTGAGCTGCTCCTGCGGTTGTTTGGAGATGGGCAAGGGAGCAGAAGGGACTGAAGCATAGGCATCTGAATAGTGACTACTTTACTATGCTCCAAACCTGGCTGTGCTTGGCTGCTGAACACCAGCAAGTTGTTGCTGCCCTTGGAGTTGGATCCAACGTCAGAGTAGGGAATTTGGTAGAGAAACGTGGATCAAAGTTGAGAGGCCTTAGGCTCACGCACTTTGGAGGGTGGCTGCTCGGGGAAGCAGGTCCGAAGGGATGGGAACAGTGGTGGTGCTTCTCCTGTGGGTGCTCTGCCCCTTCATCTCTTCACTAGAGCTGTGAGGTGCTTGGGGTCTGGTGACCACTCAGCCGCAGGTTCTGGAACCAGCCACCGTGTGGAAGGGATGAAGAGTTCCCAGGGATGTTGTGTTGAGCTTAACCTGACGCCTGCACCTTCCTTCTGCTCTGCATCAGCCCTGTTTGCTCAGGACCCCATTGTGGTTTTATCCCGTTTTTTCTCAGCCTGGCACAGTTGATTTTTTTAAAAATTCCATTTAAGTTCCCACTTTGCATCTCCACTGGCAGCAGCTCGATGAAGGTACGCTTTTCACAGCCTACTTCTTGTGCTTGTGTGGGGCTTGTCAGGGCTTACTTCGAGCTAGGGCTTTGACAGCCTCCTCTCATGCTGCACCCCAAGCTGCAGGCGAGCGGGCAGGCTGTAGGAAGTGTAGCGGGGCAGAGTGCCGTGGATTTGGCAAGGAAGCGCGACCTGCCTCCGCAGGGAACTGCTCGGGGTGAAGTGGTGCAGCCGGGTCTGCAGGGCTTGGTGTGGAGCAGTGGCCAGCTGCTTGACCCAGTGCCTTGGAGTGTCTCACTGCATGAAAGAAACCCAAAAATCCAAACACAAAATGTGCCCTGTAAAGAAGTGTGAGAGCCACAAGCCACGGGACTTAACTGCTGCACACCCTCGCTTACCTCTGCGCGTGACATCTAAGATCACTGCACTCTGGTGCAAGTAAGTCCTGCCTTCGTGGAGCTTATTTTTAATGCTAGCAGGTTTTCAAGTTCCACGTCCTAATTAGGTTGCCAAAAAGCATCTTTTTAATGTGTTTAGATGTGTTGTTGCCTTTTTTTTTGCCCTCTGGCTTCTCTTTATTATCAGACACAGTAAACAGCGGCCTGGTTGGCTGCCTCAGCTTTGCTTGCTGTTTATAGGCCTCCCACCATATCCTCTTGCTGCTGTTTCCGGACCGAAGCTGTTGGCTGTGGGTGGTTAACACTTCCATTCAGATGAGCTGTGCCAATTTATAGCCAGCCCAGGCGCTGGAGAGATTAAAGAGAATTTTTTATGGGGAAGGTTCGCACTGTGCCCTTGGAGTGACCTTTGAGGAATGTCTTAATCTCTCTGGGAACCACTGGCATGTCGCAGAGGCACCACAGCAAGGACTGTTTTAGGCCAGAGCACTTGAACAGCTGCCTCTGAGCCCCAGCCTTGCTTTCCCCTGCTCCCTCAGCTGAAATATTGTCTTCCCTCTGCTGTCTTCCCCCTACCCCTAACCAGGTGTGTGGATCAGCTAGAGAGGAGAGCAGGTCCCGTGGGAAGCCATGCCCTACTCTGCTCCTGCTTGCTAAGAGCAGCCGTGCTGGGGAGCAGAAGTAAAGCGCCGCTCAGGTCTCCTCTTCCTATGGCTGGAGCATTCCTTGGGGCTTTTGTAACCTTGTCTGCTCCCTCTCGGCCCCCCCCCCTTCCCCAGAGCTGTCTGGAACAAAGCTGGAACAAGCATGAGAGACTGAGGCTGGTGGCAGTGAGGAATGGTTACATGTAGGTTGGAAACAACTGTCCAGGCATGGCACATGTGGACAGTCTCCATCTGGGAACACTGTGCGAGGAGGGGAGCTGGCTCAGGGGCTGATGTCACCACCCACTTGGCCAAAGCAGCACTTTGTGTACCAACTGCAGCCTTGTGAGCACCATGGTGGTGGGAGAAAGTGGGGAGGGGGTGTGTGTGAAGGAGGAGACCCGGGGGGAGCAGGAGGCTGAGGCTGTGAGCAACTCCTTGGCTTGGATGAAGGAGCAGTAGGACGAGCTGCTGTAGACGGAGCTTTTTGGGGCTGGCACAGCCTCGGCCACTGCAGACAGTTAAGCACCACAGACCTGCTGGCACTGTGGATAGAGACCCAGCCCTGCTGCCAGCCCTATGTCAGGAGTAAGAGCTGGTAAGGGGGGAGGGATGGCTGCAATCACTGACCTCCCCTTCTCTCTCATAGGCTGGACCGCGAGTCCCGGCTGGAAGAAGTGCGTTCTGCCTTTCTGGCCAGCTACAGCCGGACCATCGGCCTGAAGGCCGTGCCCCCCAGCCCCTCAGGGGCCATCGGTGGCCTCCTCGAGCAATTCGCGAGGGGCGTGGGACTGAGAGGCAGCAGCACCCTCTGAACACGGCGTTCCCCGACCACTGCCTGGAAAACCGGGACTGGCGAGTCCCCCCGCAGAGTCCTGGGACCCCCTTCTCGGTGCGGGCACCTGCTGCACCCAGTGCCTGCCGCCGGCCCCCCGCCTGGGGCTGGGGAGGTGCGGGGGCTTCGGCGAGTCTCTGCAGTAAATGACCAGAGCTGTGCCCTTTCCTGCCTCCTCTCTGGGCTGGGGGCGGCGGGCAGCAAAGCCGGGTGGGGGGCGGCGTGGGGGGAGCCGCTCTGCCGGGGGCGCTGCTCACTCTAAATAGCCCGGCCCACGCTCCGGGAGCGGCGGCACCGAAATAACGCCGAGCCGGGACCGGGAGGGTGGGATGGAGGCTGAGACCCTCTGCCCCGGAGTGGGGAGTGGAGCTGAGGCTGCAGCCCCGGGCGGGAGCTCCCGGGGGAGCCGGGCCGGGAGTTGGGTCTGAGCCGCCCGCGGTGGCCGGGGGGGCGGTGCCGGCGGGAGAGGACCGTCGTGCCCAAGATGTGCTTTGCCTGTGTCGAGCCGCCTCGTGGCCGTGCCGTTCCTCTCCGGAGCCGTGCCCGTGTCTGTGCCGTGCCCGAGCCGAGCCGTGCCGTGCCCGTGCCGTACCCGCCCCCGGGCGCGCCTCCTCGGCGGCGCGGGAGGAGGCGGCGCGGAGCATCGGCGGCGCCCGGGCGGGGATGGCGGCTCCGGGAGCTCTGGAGCCGGCGACCGGCAGCGTGCCGGGCACCAAGGTGGAGCTCACCGTGTCCTGCCGGTGAGCCGGGAGCGGGGCGGGGGAGCGGGCGGACGGTGACTGGTCTCTGGACAGGGGTGGGTGCGAAACGCACCGGGATGCGCCGTGTGGCTGCTCGCCGCGTCCCGCTGCCCGCCGGTCAGCCCCTGGCTCCGGGGGCTGTGGGCTGCGGGTCCTGCTCGCTCCCCGGGTAGCTCTGCGTGCCACGGTGTGTGCCCAGCGCTCCTCTGCCCTGCTGCCACACATGGGGACAAATCCTATCCCTTTCGCGGGGGTCCCGGTGGATGCTGGCACCGGGGCACGGCTGTGTGGAGGAGCCCCTGCCCTCACCTGGAGCAGGAACGGCCCCGCTCGGTGCGTTGTTTGTAGGACCTGGGTGATGCCGGCGGGGCGCGGGGTGCCGGCGCTGGCAGCGGGCGGCTGCCCGGCTCTGCCCGGCTCGGCGAGCCCGGTGCAAGGCGACGGAACTGGGAGCCGGGCAGCCTTGGCGATGGCGGGACGAGGGCTGCGGGAGAGGGGCTGCTCGGTACCCCGGCTCCTGGTCGGGGTCCGCGGGGCAAGCGGCCGTGTCTGAGCCGATCTGCCGGTGGCTAAATATAGCCGGAGGCACCGCTGCTCGCGGCCGGGGGTCCCGCCCGCAGGGATCGGCACCAGCAGCCTCCTGGGCGGCTCCTGTGGCACAGAGCCCCCCCTCCCCGGGTGGCCACTTCTAGCACATCCTGCAAACTTTGGGCTGGGCGAGGGGCTGCCGTACCCTTTCCCTGCGGCTGAGCCCCGGCCACCGCTGCCAGCCCCACGGACAGCAGGCAGAGGGGCTGCAGGGCCGGGGGACCGGGCAGCTCCGAGCAGCAACCGGGGAATCACACCTGGAGACAGTTCAGGGCAGGGGCAGACTTCGGCTTCGCAGCCCCACGGCTCAGCCCTGTGCAGGGTGGGATCTCCTGGGCGCTGGCGACAGGGGAGCTGGTTTAGCCCGCAGTCCCTGGCCGTGCCCCCACCCTGTGCTGGCACCTCGGGGGTGCGGGAAGTATCCCAGCAGAGCCGGTCGCAGCCCCTGGCACTTTCCGGCGTCACACCGTGCACAGGACGACGATCAATCGCTCTGCCGGTAGCTGTGTCGGGGGGTGCCCGCCGGCTGCCCGGCCCCTGCTCCAAGTGCCTCCTTTCTTCTACTTCTGCACCCCGCCATTAGCCACGCTCCTGCTGCCGGGGCGCGGCGGGCACTCAGCCGGCGCCGGCGGCACTGGGGAAGGTTTCATCCTGTAAATGGGTTCCCTGTCATGTTCAATCATCATCAGCGCTGGAGACACTGCTCGCCGCTCGCCCCCCTGTCCCGCCGAACCTTGCGGTGGGAGCCAGCGTGTCTCCCTGGAGTGCCGGGGCTCTTAGACACGGGTGCCAGCACGGCCTTCTGGCATTATGCTGGCCCATGATCGGGAGGTGGACATGGGGCCGGGTGGGTGGCACTCAGGGTGGCTCACACCTGGTTCTGTTCCCCCAGGAACCTGCTGGACATGGACACCTTCTCCAAGTCTGACCCAGGTGGGTGGCAGGGCTGAGCAGGGCGCATGGCATGGCACAGACACGGCACGGCAGCCTGGCTCTGCTCCTCTCTCCGCAGTGGTGGTCCTTTTTGTGCAGGGCTCAGGGAGCAGCGAGTGGAAGGAGGTGAGCATGGCCCCACTCCTGGCTAATCCCCGGCTGGGTTAAACGGGCCCATATGGCCACCCGTGTCCATGTTTATGATCCCTCCCCGTCCACGCTAATGATCCAGCCCCGCCAGCAGCGCTAATCCCCCACCGGGATTAGCGCCGAGGCAGCTGCGATGGGGAGGGGTCCTGGGGGGGGGGCCATGCTCACCCCTCTCCCTGCAGTTCGGGCGCACTGAGGTGATCGACAACACCCTGAACCCCGACTTCGTCCGCAAGTTTGTCCTCGACTACTACTTTGAGGAGAAGCAAAACCTCCGCTTTGATGTGTGAGTAGGGTGGCCGGGAAAGGGCTCGGCTCCACTCAGGCTGCAATAAAGCACCGAGTCATTTATCACCGAGTGATAAATAAGGATAATAAGTAAGGAAAGTAAATAGGGATAATAAATAAGGATACAGTGGCAAAAAGCCCAGATGGGTGGGGAAGCAGGGCTGTGTGCTGGGGCACCCTGCAGTCACCAGCTCAGGGCTCTGCTCTCCCACACCAGCTACAACGTGGACTCCAAGAGCTGCTCTGCCTTAAAGCAGGTGAGCACAGCTTGTGCCAGGAGGGACGTGTGGTGGGACACCCCGAAGTTGTGTCCTGTGTGGGTGCTGTCCCAGGGGGAACAGGTGCCCCTTGGAGGGTTCTAACCCATTTTCCATCTCTCCGTGCTCCATGGGGACTGGCAGAAGGTAAGTGCCCACCATGCACCAGCACCTGCTCTGCCCTGGGAACCCAGCCCTCATGGGGGTGCCTTGTGGGGCAGGATGGGACCAGGACACTCCATGGGAGTGTTTTTTGGAGGGCAGGATGGGTGAAGGGTGGCCTAAGAGGTCCACGATGTGTCCAGGGCTGTAGACTGGCCCTGGAGGCACAGAATGAGTGCAAGGCACATGGAGTGGACACCTGGGGTGGTCCTGGGGGTGCACAATGGGTCCTGGGCTGGGAGGTGGCTCTTGGGGCACAGGGTGGATTCAGGACACTTGGGGTTGGCCCTGAGACAAACTGGTGGCAGGTCCCATGGATCAGTTGGGAGGGTGAGGGATGAATGTGGGTGGTGAGGGACTATGACAAAACTCTGTGGGGTCTCACAGTGCTGTGTTTGGGGTACAGGACTTCCTGGGGCAGGCATTCGTGGCACTGGGGGAGGTGATTGGGGCCCAGCGGGGACGCCTGGAGAGACCCCTCACGTGAGTCACACCCTGTGGTGGGGTGAGGAGTGGGTCCCACACTGTGTGCCCACTACCTGCCCCCTGAGACCCCTCCCTGAACATCCTGCACTCTGGGGACTCTGGTCACACTAACAAGCACCAGCTGTGAGACACAAGCCTCAACCCTGACCCCACCTCTTTCCCCTGGCCTGTCCTCCTTTTCCCCAAGCTGATGGGGTGCCTCTGTCCCCAGGGGGGTCCCCGGGAAGCGATGTGGGACCATCCTGCTGCTGGCTGAGGAGCTGAGCAACTGCCGGGTGAGTGTCCTGGTGAGGAGGGGGCTGCATGGCCCCTCAGCATAGGCAGCTGCTGGTGACTGGGGTGAGAAGGTGTCTGGCAGTGACAGTCCCTGTCCCCAGGACATCATCACAATGCAGCTGTGTGCTAACAAGCTGGACAAGAAGGACTTCTTTGGAAAATCTGACCCCTTCCTCGTCTTCTACCGCAGCAACGAGGATGGCACGTGAGCGCAGGGGCCTGGAAGGGTGGGCAGGGTGCTGGTGTCACCAGTAGGTGTGCCTCAACCCTGCCCTGTCCCCACAGCTTCACCATCTGCCATAAGACAGAGGTGGTGAAGAACACACTCAACCCGGTGTGGCAGCCCTTCACCATCCCTGTGCGTGCCCTCTGCAACGGTGACTACGACCGGTATGGGAACAGGGACAGGGACAGTCATGGGGCCAGAGCAGGGAATGAGCCGTTCTTTGTGGGTTTTGCCCCGTTGCAGCGACAGGCAGCTCAGAATTGGGTCCCGACTGATGTTTTTTTCTCTTTTGCAACCCAAATTATATAAAATCATCCCTCTCCTTTCCAGAGCCCCTACCATGACCCAAATTTCCCACTTCCCTCCCGGCAGAGCTGCAGGCCGGGCAGGCAGGGCAGCTCTGCTGGCAGCTGGCAGGCAGGGTGCTTGCTGCGGGGTGGGCTGAGGGGCTGGGTGTCCCCAAACCAGGGGGCAGAGGGGCTGTGCCAGCCAGGCTGACGGCTCACCCGTTGCCCACCTTTGCTTTCAGAACGGTGAAGATAGATGTGTACGACTGGGACCGGGATGGGAGGTGAGGCAGGGGACACTCGGATCCTGTGGGGTGCAGGTGGGGTGCCTGGCCATGCCGACCCCGCATTCCTCCCACAGCCACGACTTCATCGGGGAATTTGCCACAAGCTACCGGGAGCTGTCTCGAGCACAGAGTCAGTTCACAGTGTATGAGGTAGGACTGTGGGTTGGGAGTGGGGGCGGGAGGACAGCCCACTCTGGGACCGACCCGCCCCTGTGCCCGCAGGTGCTGAATCCCCGGAAGAAATGCAAGAAGAAGAAATATGTGAATTCCGGCACCGTGAGTAGGGCCGGAGCATTCCTGGGGCTCCTGTCTTTGGGGTCTGGGGCTGCTCCATCTGCTGTGCCTGCCGGGGTCAAGGGCAGATGGGTCTGACCGCCTGTGCCCGCAGGTGACACTGCTCTCCTTCTCTGTCGAGTCCGAGTTCACCTTCGTTGACTACATCCGGGGCGGGTGAGTGGGGGGCCAGGAGCCCCCCGGCTCCTCGAGGCCCCCCATGGGTGAGGGTCTCAGGGCAAGGATGGTGGTGACGGTGAAGGTGCAGCCTGGGGGTGACAAGGGGGCTGGGGAGGGGGTGCAGGACGGTGGCACTGGGCTGTGGGGTGCTGGCTGGGGAAGAGGGGGGCCCAGACGATGGGCCCGTGCAGGGGAACACCCACACTGTGGGGCTGGAAGATGGTATCCCAGTGCCGTGGGGCCGGCAGCCTCCCTCGCTCTCCCCTCCAAGGACGCAGCTGAATTTCACCGTCGCCATCGACTTCACGGCCTCCAACGGTGAGTGCAGCCGGTGTCTGGGGGTCCCCATCGCTGTGGGGCTGGCCATGGGGTAGGTGTGACAGGCACTGTGCTGCAGGGTTGCCGTCACAGCCCACCTCGCTGCACTACGTGAGCCCCTACCAGCTGAGCGCCTACGCCCTGGCGTTGAAGGCAGTGGGGGAGGTCATCCAGGACTACGACAGTGACAAGCTCTTCCCTGCCTATGGCTTCGGTGCCAAAGTCCCACCCGACGGCAAGATTTCCCACCAGTTCCCCCTGGTGCGCCCTCCCCGCAGGGCAGGGCTGAGGGTGAACCCAGACCTCCTGGCTGTGGGGCAGGGCTGGCTGTGGGGTGCCCACAGCACTTTGGCAAGAAGGGGAAGAACCCTGGCCACATCCTGCCCTGGCATCCCACAGCCTGGGGGACACTGGGAGCTGTGGTTCCCCTCCAAGTGTCCATCCCTGTCCCCCAGAACAACAATGCAGAGAACCCCAGCTGCTGTGGCATCGAGGGTGTGCTGGAGTCCTACCTCCAGAGCCTGCGCACCGTCCAGCTCTACGGTCCTACCAACTTTGCCCCCGTCATCAACCAGGTGGCAGGGTGAGCACCAGGGGACTCTCCCCTTTGCCATCCCCAAATGCCGTCAGTCCCACAGCAGGGACAGTTGCCCCACACCAGTGGGGTGCTGGAGGGACCCCACCCCTTGTCCCCATAGGACAGCTGCCCAGGTGACTGATGGCTCGCAGTACCACGTCCTCCTCATCATCACTGACGGTGTCATCTCCGACATGCTGCAGACCAAGGAGGCCATTGTCACCGTAAGTGCACCATCGTTGCTGTGAGTTCACCCCACATTGGGCGCTACCCCAGCTGACATCCTGCCTCTGCTTCACAGGCTTCTGCCTTGCCCATGTCCATCATCATCGTGGGAGTGGGTCCGGCTGAGTTTGAGGGTGAGTTGGGACTTGGGGACACCATGGAAGGGAAATGGAAGCATTGTCCCTTCCTCTGGGACTCCAAAGGCATCCAAAGGGATGGTGTTTCCATCCCCGGTGTTCGCCCCACCGAGGCTCGGTGACACCAGCTGTCACCCCCAGCCATGGAGGAGCTGGACGGTGATGAGGTGCGGTTGTCTTCCCGGGGACGGTTCGCCGAGAGGGACATTGTACAGGTAACGCTGGCACTGAGCCCAGCCCCCCACGGGTGAGAGATGTTCAGCCCCCCTCACTGATCCCCCACAGCAACAGGGTTGTTTCCAATTGGGCTGCAAACTTCTTGCCTTCCAAGTTTGTGCCGTTTCGGGATTACGTGGATGACTCGGGCAACCAGGTGCTGAGCATGGCCCGCCTGGCCAAGGATGTGCTGGCTGAGATCCCCGAGCAGCTGCTCTCCTACATGAAGACCCGTGACATCAAACCCCGCCGGGCAGACCCTGAGTAGCTCCTCCAAGAGCCATGGGATCAGCTGGTGGGGCAAGGATGTGTCACCTTTCCTCTGCCAGCGGCCAGGGCTTAGCAAAGGAGATGTGGCTCCACCAGGCAGATAATCAGCTGCTACAGTTGGTGAAAACGGTTGGCGAAAACGGGGCTGTGACCCTCTTCTGGCAGCGAGACCACAGGGCTGGATGTCCACGGCTGCCCTGATGTCCACCAGCACGCTGGGGCTGGCTCGGACCATGCAGTCCCATCCCTCGGGCAGGGTGGCTGGGGGTCCACAGTGTGTGTGTGTGCCCCGGGAGGGCAGCCTGGTGCCTGTCCCAGGGCAAGGCTGACCCTGGGTGCCTGCCGGGGGTCACAGCCCTGCTGCTCCTTGGGGCAGGGGTCTCACCCTGTTCCTGCCTGCACCCCATTCCTGCCTGCACCTCTCTCCTGCCTGCGCCCCGCTCCCGCGGCCCTGCTGACCCGGCCTGCCCCATGGCCCGCCCCGCGGCCCGGGGTCCCGCAGCCGCGGGGTGCCGGAGCGGGGGGCAGGCGGGTCTGTACGCGTTACCGACTGTAAATAAACTGCTCAACGGGGTCTGCTGCCGTGCTGGGGCGGGGGCACCGCGGGTATCGAGGAGGCCCGAGGGGCCGGAGGAGTCAAGGGAACCGGTGGGAGCGGGGGAGACGGGGGGGTACCGTGAGGACCGGAGGGGTGCGGGGACTCGGTGGGAGGCCGGGCCGGGCCGGGGCGGGGCCGGGCGGCGGCGGGCTCTGTGATTCGCGGCGGCAGATTCGCCACCGCCGGCGCCGCGCGGCCCGGCCCGGCCCCGCCGCGCCCACGTGGCCTCCCCACCGCGCCGCCGCCTCCGCTGCCGCCGCCGCCGCTGTCTCCTCCGTCCCCTCGGCCGCCGCCGCCGCTGCCCGGCCGTGCCGTGGCGAAAGTGCGGTTGCTAGGGACGGCGCGGCGCTTTACCCAGCAGCCGCCCCGCGCCAGGCGCCGCCGCAGCTCCATTGTTGGGGCCGGCCCGGGCCCGCCGCCGCCGCCGCGCCGCCCATGGAGCCGCCCGCCCGCTGAGCGCGGCCCCGCGCCGGGAGCGCCGCCGCAGGCAGGGAGCGGGCAGCGGGGAGCCAGGGCAGGGCGGCCGGGGCCCGGGAGGGGCGGCGGGGCGGGGGCCCGGCCCGGCCCGGCCCGGCCTCGGCCCCCGCGGCCCCGCCATGGGCGTAGACTTCGACGTGAAGACCTTCTGCCACAACCTGCGGGCCACCAAGCCGCCCTACGAGTGCCCGGTGGGCACCTGCCGCAAGATCTACAAGAGCTACAGCGGGATCGAGTACCACCTCTACCACTATGACCACGACAACCCGCCCCCGCCCCAGCACACCCCCCTGCGCAAGCACAAGAAGAAGGGGCGCCAGGCCCGCTCCGCCAACAAGCAGTCGCCCAGCCCCTCCGAGACCTCCCAGTCGCCCGGCCGAGAGGTGATGACCTACGCCCAGGCCCAGCGCATGGTGGAGGTGGACCTGCACGGCCGCGTCCACCGCATCAGCATCTTCGATAACCTCGACGTGGTGTCCGAAGACGAGGACGTTCCCGAAGAGGTGCCCGAGAACGGGAGCAATAAGGAGAACACGGAGACGCAGAGCGTCCCTCCCAAATCTGGCAAGCACAAGAACAAGGAGAAGCGCAAGGACTCCAACCACCATCACCACAATGCCTCGGCCAGCACCACCCCCAAGCTGCCCGAGGTGGTGTACCGAGAGCTGGAGCAGGACACCCCCGACGCCCCACCTCGCCCCACCTCGTACTACAGGTATTGCCCGTGGCTGGGATGTGAGGAGGCTCCCAGGTTTGTGCCCTGGGTCTGGAGATGGAATTGGCCTGGCTCTGTGCAGGTGGCTTTCCCATGGCCTCTGATGGCCTCTCCCAGGTGCTGTGGAGCTCACTGTCCCATGGCTTCAGGCTCCTGGGGCTCTGCCTGGCATCACCTCCCAGTTCTGAGGGGTCTGTGTGTCTGCAGAGCTCTTAGTTGCTGCTTAGGTCACTGCCAGCAGTTTGACTGCTGCCCTCTTTCATTGCTAGAACAGCATATACAGCCATAACAAAACCCATATGTGTCCTTCTGCCTCCTATTCTGCTCTTTGGAGCTATACTGGGGTAGCTCCAGAGCCCCTCAGCACCAATGTGTACCTGTACATCTGCTTGTGGGCTTAATTCTTAATTTTTGTCCTGCAGTTTTCTGTGAGAGGTTTGGTCAGTGCAGTTGCCCGAGGTAATACCTCAAGCAGGAGTTAACACAGCTCCCCTCTCCAGAATTAGCAAAATGTGGTGTGTCCTTGACTGGTTGTCATGTCTTGGTCATGAGGTTGCTGTCTCCAGAGCACTGGCATCTTCTGGGTGGCTTGTATAGGCCCCTGCCTTGCACTGACGAGTCTCCAAGGCCTGACCTTGCTCCTTAGACCAGTGTTATTTTGTCTACGAGGTGCTGCTGTGCTGCTGTGCTGCTCAGGGTGCAGCAGCACTTCCGCACATTCCTGCCTTGTCCTTGTTTCTTTATTTTGACTTACGGCTTGGCTGGAGTGTTAAAATGTTCCCTCAGCCACAGCCAAACCCTGGAGTTGGGCTTCAGCAGCTCCAGCTGCGCAGAACATGCCCTCACTCTCCCGTGCTGTCCTTCCAGGTACATAGAGAAGTCAGCAGAGGAGCTGGATGAGGAGGTGGAGTACGACATGGATGAGGAGGATTACATCTGGCTGGACATCATGAATGAGCGGCGGAAGAATGAAGGTGTGAGTCCTATTCCCCAGGAGATCTTTGAGTACCTGATGGACCGGCTGGAAAAGGAGTCGTACTTCGAGAGCCACAACAAGGGGGACCCGAACGCCTTGGTGGACGAGGACGCCGTCTGCTGCATCTGCAACGATGGGGAGTGTCAGAACAGCAACGTCATCCTCTTCTGCGACATGTGCAACCTGGCTGTGCACCAGGAGTGCTACGGGGTGCCCTACATCCCCGAGGGACAGTGGCTCTGCAGACGGTGCCTGCAGTCACCCTCGCGTGCTGTGGACTGTGCCCTCTGCCCAAACAAGGGGGGGGCCTTCAAGCAGACGGACGATGGGCGCTGGGCACACGTGGTCTGTGCCCTATGGATCCCGGAGGTGTGCTTTGCCAACACCGTCTTCCTGGAGCCCATCGACAGCATCGAGCACATCCCGCCCGCGCGCTGGAAGCTGACCTGTTACATTTGCAAGCAGCGCGGCTCCGGGGCTTGCATCCAGTGTCACAAAGCCAACTGCTACACTGCCTTCCACGTCACCTGCGCCCAGCAGGCCGGGCTGTACATGAAGATGGAGCCCGTCCGGGAGACAGGTGCCAATGGTACCTCCTTCAGCGTGCGCAAAACCGCCTACTGCGACATCCACACGCCGCCGGGCTCTGTGCGCAGGCTTCCCGCCCTCTCCCACAGTGAGGGGGAAGAGGAGGAGGAGGAGGAGGAAGAGGAGGGAAAGGGCTGGAGCTCTGAGAAAGTCAAAAAAGCCAAGGCCAAGTCTAGGATCAAGATGAAGAAGGCACGGAAGATTCTGGCAGAGAAACGGGCCGCAGCGCCCGTGGTTTCCGTGCCCTGCATCCCCCCTCACAGGTACGAACCCACCACCCTCCCTAGACTGGGGAGAGATTTCTCCTTTCCTCTGTGCCTCCTGTCCTGCTTTCCAAGTGTGCATTACCCTGTTCCTCTCCTTAGCTTTTTGCACAGGTGTTTCTCACTTCATTGTCACAGAGGGCTGTGGTGGTTTCTTCTGGGAGTCCTGCAGAGAGGCAGGGCTGTGCGATGTGCTACCCTGCAAAGGTGTCTGGGCCCTTGGTGGGGCAGGAAATAGCTGCTGTTAGTTTAACAGCAGAGAATGAACTTGGCCAGATGTGTCAGGAAGCAGCTGGAGGTTCCCATCACTCCTTTCCTGTTGTGCTGACCTCAGGCACTGGAGTAAATCAGGCAGGGAGGAGGGGACTGCTCTCCTTTCTGCTGAGGTTTGTCTTCTCCTGAGGCTGTGCCAGGCAAATGACAGAAGTGTGGGAGCAACTCAGGCCTGGGAAATGGGCTAATCCCAGGGGTTGTTTTGGCTCTGGAGTGGAGAGTTCTGGGATTGGGATCCCTGTGCCCTGCTGAACACAGTTCATGCATCCCAGCAGCCGTGTACCCCTTGCTGGGCTTCCTCAGTGTTTTGTGCCAGGTGCAGCAACAGCTGTGTCTGCTCAGGCTGCCTGTCGGAGCAGGGCTGGGCAGCTGTGGATGCTGAAAGCCTCTGCACGGCTGTCTGCGAGGAGAGGTGGCTGGAGAGCACCAGGACTCCTGCCTGCCAAGGGGCACAGCGGTCCCAAGGGTGGCTCCACAGCACAAGGGCTGTTGGAAAGGTACTTGAAGCCTTGCCAGGGGTTGTGTTTCTGTCACATCACAACCCTGCGGGTTCACAGGGGTGCAAACACCCCGTAGTTACAGGCATAACTGCTGTGTGTCTTGCTCTGGTTGGATTGTTGGGCTGCCATACAAATCCTGAAGCAAGAGCATTTAAGAGCCTTGCTGGAATTTGTCAGTGTAGGTTATAACTCTGGGTGTCCTCAGCAGCATGTAAAAGCATGTAAGGGCATCTTAGGGTGTTTCTGGTCTCATTGTCGCCCTGCAGCGGGCATCACACAGTTGAAGCACAAGTTTGGCACAGAAGCGTTTGTCATCATGGTGGTGAGCCACCTCCTGAGCTGCTGAACAATCCCCCTCCCCATGGCGGGAGCTGAGCCACCCCCTGAGCTGCTGAGCTCTCCTCCTCCCCACGAGACACCATCCAGCTCTTGGACCCTCAAGACTATCTCCTGTCAGCGGGGAGCACACGTGGGCTGTGCTGTCTGGGCAGTGTTCTGGTGACCTGTGGAGGCAGGTCTGCTGCAAGGCTGCTGGCTTTTTGCCACGGTCTGTTTGTGTCCCAGCCTTATGTTTTTGCTCACTTGGGGCTTGCTCCGTAGCCAGGGTCTCTTTTTCTACTTGTGGACGCATTGGCAGGCAGTTTGTAGACTCTTGCTGCTATCGAGCTCACAGTGAAACCCACACTGAGCTAGAAGCTGTTAACCTCTCCCCAGGCCTTCCTGTTGGGATTAATTATTCTTCAAGGGCTGTTGCCAGAATGCCAGATGTCTTCCTGTGGGAGCTGTGCTTGGCCAGTGATGGCACATGAGGCTGCCATCCCCAGCCTCTTCAGCTGAGACTGATGCAGGTTGGGTCATCCCATGGGACGAGCTGTCCCTGTGAGACAGGGAGATGCTGGGAGTTTGTCTCTTTGGCTCCCTGCTAGCAGGGCATCTCTGTCTGACTTTGCTGAATGAGGTTGTCCCAGTCCCTCCAGACTTTCTGCTGTTGTAGGGACTAAGAAATTTTTGTGGTGTTTTGGGGCTGTTTAGTGTAGTCTTGAATGGGGAGCGCTGTTGTGCTCATGCCACCTGTTCCCTCCTCATGCTTTGCCAGGCTTGAATTTCTCTGGTGACACTTGGCCAGGCCCTTTGTCATGGCAAGCAACCCTCAGACAGGTAAATAATGGTTTTGTGGTAGCAGC